TATACCATGGCTATGTTAAATAACCAGAGGGTATCATCAGTTTCCTTATTCTTTGATGGCCTTTTTTGGGCCATCTTTGCGCCATCGTGACCGGGTGATTCGCTTGCCTCAGCACCTTTTTTTCAAACAGTTCATTGAAACCAAGGACTCCCAAACAACCAGGTCGCAACCACTTCGGACATTCTAAGCTTGGTATTTGCTGAAATATGCAATTGATAAATTACAAACAAGGAGGTTTGTGATATTTTTTCCCTATCCAACTGGGTAAGAAAAGCTAAGAACACTATGACACCACCAAGCATCGCAGTTCTGGCAGTTCTGCTTGAGGGGGCGTTCAAAGGAAACCAACATGAATTTCCTCCCAGCTGGGTAGACACCTCCCTTGAAGTTTCTCTGACGAACTGTGGAAAAGTGAGCCAAATGAAGCAGGAGGCCCTAATCCAACTTAAATGCGTCAATAATATGTCCACCTGGAATATGACATTGGAAGGATGCCTTTTTTTCTGCGGGTTGTAGAAATGGTTAAATGGAAGACTCCTGCCACACATGGTTTCTGTTCCAACGATCTCGGGTAACAAAAAGACATTATAAAACCAAACGTTGGAAACCAAAAAGCGTCCAAACATTTTGGTGACTCCAGTCCATATCAAGTACCTCTGGTAAACTAACATAACTATAGAACATCACCATTTTAATGGGTAAATCATCTATAAATGGCAATATTCAATAGTCATGTTAAACTACCAGAGGGTATATCATTTGGAAAACACAAATTACAAAAAACCTCGGCATCTCGCACAACTTGTGGCTGACCAACCGGGACATCTGTTCCCGCGCCGAATCAACACAACCGCCAACAAGACCAACCAAATAAACGACCAAGGCAATACTTAGCCCCAAAAAAACAGGGCTCATGATTAGTGGTACATACCTTCCAGAAAATGCTGAACATATCTTCCCAATCATACCAAAAAGCTTGAAATATAGAAGTGCGCATTTTTTTTCCAAGGTTTATTGAAAAGTCCCTGATTACATGCCCAGCAATTAAAGATAGAAATCGATTTTGCTCAAGATGGCCGCACACAAACACACGAAAAAAACATACATACAGAAACTGCAAGCATGTTTCAAATATATGCTCCAAATATCCCCCAAATGCTAGATTGCCCAGTTCGAGATAAGATAACAATCGTCCACAAATCCAGGGATACCAACAAAGTTAGGACAAAATTGCTGGTTAGGTAGCTATGTTACTATCATTTACCATCACCCCATATTGCACAAGGTTGATACATGTCACCTGGATGTTTGGCTTCCGGATGCATTCGAATTCAGGCTCTTCCGTCCTACGCGATGAGGCTTGAGCCACTTTCCCAAGGGTAATGTTGGTAACATTAACCTTGGATTTGCAAAACCACCGGCTTACCAATATAAAGGGGGTCCCGGGGTTTATCGATTTGTATATTTACTGTATTTAAATGTCTTTTCTCTCTACTCCACAAAACTGTAAATCGGGGGTTGGCATAAGTTGACTTATTGAATAAATCCGGCAATTCAACCAATAACTTAATCTTAACCAATATTCAACTCAATCTGTTCCCCCTTTCATCATATTCATGCAATTCCAAGTGCCTGTCCATCGAACTTGGAAGATCAAACCCAAAGGCTTCAATCGGCGTCAACTACAATATGGCCATGTCATGCAAAATTTGGACCCACGAATTCACTGCTTTCATCAACTTTCATCAACTTTCATCAGCTTTTATCATTTTCTTCAAATTCCAGGGGTAAAGCCAAAGAAATCGATCACATTTTGTGCGGCTTGGGTTTGTCTGAAAACTGGGATCCTTGTCCCCCATCTTCGGACAGACCTAGATGCTTGCCTCCATCAAACCTTCGATGCAGATCTTGATTGCAAAACAACAAACGTACACGAAAGATATGAAGGTCTGTACTTGTCATGCTTGACGATGTAACAAACCTCCGAGAATGACAAACGACTCCAACACATCATCAAAGATGATCATTATTTGTGCCCCGGCAACCATGAACCAACCAGCCCTGGCTTTCCAACTCCTCAGTTGTCTCCAATTCGTGCTGTTTCACCTGGGGTCTTTCCGGACAGGGCCCTTGAAAAAACGATCTCCCCCAGATTGCCCCAGCTTTCCAGACATAGGTTCCCCATGGGGCACCCCAAATCACAGGCACCCTTTTCTTCAATGGTGGAAAAACCGTTGCTCATCTTGGATACCATTACCATGCCACAAAAGATGGAAATGGTGTTGAACAAACTATTCCCAAAAAACATGGGATGAATTTAGAAAACACGCGTCATCAAAACACGCGTCATCATGTGACTTGAAACACCATGTGAGTGGCTGCTCATGTACGGCGTACTCCGCTGAACTCCGCTGAAATCGCCTTACTTCCCTGGAGTGCTGGGTGATGAAGGAGCCTTGCGACCTGTCCAATCAGGGACATCGAAGGGATCAAATGACTTTTGCGAAGGGTTTGCCGGTTAACTGGGAAACATGCATTCTGACCACCAAAAAACACCCGAAACCCTTAGACCCGCCTGCTTAAGTGTAGCAACATGACTTGGCAACAAGTGCTTTAATCAACAAGTGCATACATGTGCGTTGCTCTGCAACAGCAACAGCTTGGGAGACAGCATGAAGCAATAAAATCAAAGAATGAGGAAATCTAAGGGCAATCATTTCCATCAACATAACTATGGAAAATCACCATTTTTCATGGGAAAACCAACATTTTTGATGGTATACCACCATTTTTAACCAAGCCAACGAATGCCTGGTGACGGTGGAAATCGTGCCACTATAAACCTCACCAATCCCGCTGGGCCATTTTTGCCGCCACAGCTCGAGCAACTTGTTGTGGTCGTGTGAACATGGACATCAGTTGCACCGGGGCAAATCGTTAAAATATCGTGATTTAATAGTGATTTTAGTGATCAACATGGACATTGATTATAGTGATAATGGTGATTTTAATGGATTTCAAAACAAATATGTTAAAGATGGTTGTAGGTCTTCGGCATCCTCGTTGTGAAGCCAACTTGTTCGCCGGTCCCAACGAGTCTAAGAATCCCGGAAAGGCCAGAATTTTCCATGATGGATGGTTTCAACTTAGCCAAACATGTGGGTTTTCCATGGTTTTCCATGGTTTTCCATGGTTTTCCATGGTTTTCCTGAATATGGCCTTAAAAAGATGTAGAAAAAATAGCCAATTGAATGGGACAATGACAATCAACTCCCGCCTCGTGGGGAAAAGTGGCCCAACAATGAGCCACCGACTAAGCCAACACTGCCGCCTGCCACGCTTCCAATGCACCTGGATGGTTTCCACGCGTATGAACTCCATTCCTTCGTATTGTAGTCTGTCAAAAAAACACCCAAACAAACGACCCCTCTTGCAACTGAAATGACGTCTTTGCTTCAAAAACATGAATTTCATGAAAGCAGGTGCAACATGCTTTTCGTTTTTTTTTTCGGTATTTGTGGATTTGCAACACTAAATGGGTTTTGTTTCCACAATTATCTTTCGCCGCAAATCGAAAATAATCCGTTCAAAAGGCACCATTCTTACACCGTATTCAACAGGTCCGGTCATGATCAATTTCATCTCAATAGGTAATGATCAATTTCATCCCTATTCTATTTCAGTATACATTTTTTCCTGAATTCCATGAAAATCACCATTAAAACCAATTTTATCACGATTTGGATCACCATTAAAACCCATTATCATTTTGTAATAGTATAACTATAATTATCACTATAACCCATGATCATTATCATTAAAATTACCATTATCATTAAAATCACCATTATCACTTTAATTGCCTATCATTTTCTACCCAAACCCTCATGATTTTCCCATCTTTCCGAGGAGCAGTCCAAGGCCACTCCCCAGGGTGGCACAAACGGGCACAGACAAGCCGAAGGTCAACACCTCACAGTTTTTCGGAGAAAAACATGGAAAAACCATGGACAAACATGATGGAAACTTTGGAAAAACCATGGACAACTTCGTTGGTTTGCTTATGAAGAAGGATTGCGAAGTTGAACGACTACTGATTTTAAAGGTTGATGCACAAAAGCCAACGAATACCGCAGGGGTTTCGACGCAACTTCTAGTTGATTGTGGTGATAGTGGGTTTTGGCCCCGACAAAATGAAACCTGACAAGCCAAAAGCCGTGCGAAAAGGTCGGGTCCCCGGACAGCAGGTGGTAGGCCCACAGCCGCTCCAACGAGGCCACCCAGCGCTGAACCGCCGGCACCGCCTGGTCTCCCTCTGGTCAATGATCGATATCTAATCCCATAATAGCTATAATATATATATATGTATATTATATGTATATATTTATATTTATAAATCTGAAAAATGATAAATGTATATCTATATATTTTGTTGGTTTATAACTCAGCGTTATTGAATGCATATAGTGGGGTTATAAACCAACTTTGCTAACCGCGATGATCACCTCGTGAGTCTTCTTGCATTCTTCAGCATCCAGGAAAGGGATATGTTGCAAGTCGAATTCCAGCCGAATCTGGTGGGTGGTTTTAACCATCTTGAAAAATATGAGTTCGTCAATGGGAAGGAGTATTCCATATATTATGAAAAATAAAAAATGTGTGAAACCACCAACCAGCTCTGGAAAAGACAAAGGGATGACCTGACCAAGGGTAGCGGTGGTGTTTTGAACAACGGGCCTATGGAGCCCATGGCCAGACCACCCTTCAGCACGCACGAGACTCTAGCATCCATCTGATTTTCCTGCGATGGCGAACAGTCACTAGTTCAACTTCAACCACGGGGATTGAAACAAACTAAGATCAACCATTGACTCAGCATGACTCAACATGACTCAAACATGAACACTTGAGATATTTCGTGATATTTCCTGAACATCAACTAATCAAATATTTTATTGATTGAAATACATGTAGACCATCCAATGTTGGGCCTGTGTTGGACCTAGATCAGGCCCACTCCGGTACGCCAAAATTTACACCTCCACGTGCAAGGCTCCCCCCCAGTGAATCCCACACTGCTCATACTGAGCAATATACTGAGCTTACGTTGGGCCAACAGGGTTGTTGAACCCATGGTCCATGATGGGCTTGCTGCGCCAATTATTGGGGATGTTGGGCTTGTCTTGGGCCCATGTTTTCGCGCTAAAAACTCCATCAATGCCATCGTGTTTGGCGCCAGTCGAAACAAACTTCGGGTGGCCCACATTAAGCCTGTGTTGATCCAATTTGGGAGATGTTGGGTCGATGTTGGGCTTGTGTTTGTGGGCTTAAGACGGGATACCCAGCATCAAGCCCCCTTAGCAACATTTTGATGGAACCCCTGTGGCTTTGAACCACCTATTCCAAGTCAGCAAACAGTGGACCGATACAGCTTAGAAGGGGATTTCTCACGATGAAATCACAGAAATCTTGGTCGATTTACTGCGGTATTTCTGTTTTTTTTGCTTCAAACAACCATGAAATACGATCGGCAATACGCTGAACACCGGCATGCAATTCATGAAGCCAGAATTTTTTCGGGAACCTGCTGAGGATCAGCAGCACCAATCCTCGGTCAAATCTTAAGCGACTGGGAAAACCACTGGGGCTCCCCAAATAACCAACAGCTGTCACTGTACAAGATTGAAGATATGGGCGGTGATTGTTTCAATTGTTTCTGCACATTGGCTGCGTATGGTGTCTGCTGAAAACATTCTTACATAGAAGTTCCTTGGCTCAAAGTGTAATGTCAACAGCCTTCTTGATTTCCAAATGTCGAACCCAGTGTCATGGAAATTCGAACAAGTTGTTGAAAAGAAGTGCTAGTATAATAATTCGATCATGTGATCGCCTTACAAGTTGACGCAGCACAGGAACTGACCCACGCTAAAGACTACAACACGTACACCAATATCATACAATGTGAGGCCCCCCAGTTATAAGTTGGTTTATAAGCCCCAGTAACTATAGTTATAAGTATCATAAACCATAGTTATTGGAGTTATAAACCAACTTAGCTATCTAGGGGGCTTCACATTGTACCAATATCACCAATGACATCATGAATGGTTTTCTAACGGTTAAAGCCTGGAAACTGACCCACGAGATTGAACAAGCAGCAAAATAGGACTCATTGAATTGTGAGGGCGGCATCTTTGTACATAGGCTATTGAGGACAAGAATCATTGAAACGTATGCCTCATATAGTGCTGACACAGGAAACTCCAAGATCAGTGCATTCTTAAAGGAGCTTGCAAACATCACCAGCTGAAAACAGGAACATATAAAACCAGTATGTAGAAATTGGGATAGCGACTGTCTGACATGTGGGGAATTTACCAAATCATGTAACAATGCAATCAATCAATCGAAAGTTTCAATCCGAGAAAACAGCTGCTGGCAAAGACTGCAGTGTGACAAAGAAACTGCATACCGATACTGTTGTAATGTTTTTGCAATTGTGGCAAAATAATGCAAAGCATGTGCACACCGACACACACGCACAAAAAACATATGAAAAAAGGAACATACAGAAATTGTGTCAGACCGCATGGTCGCCAAATATAACCGCCATTCCCGTGATGTAAAAAGACGTGCAATTTTTGGGACACCAACTTATGAATAGATCCAATGCTAAAGATGGACTTTGTGAGGAAACACTTAGATATCACGAAAAGATTGATTGGATAAAGGGCATTGTGGATATTTGGACATGAGTTACAGTGAATATTCGACATTCTAATATAGCACACAACCAGTCCCAGGATTTAATAGATGTAAGTGGAAATCATTGTAGCCTCTAATTGTGGCCAACCAAAGGTACCAACAAACATTGCAAATATTAAAGGCTATTCCAACAACAATGGTAGGCATTCAATCCTTTCAACTTGAACGGATTTGAGCAGGTAAAATCACCGGCAACTGCGGTAAGAAAGGCGCACCGTTTGATTGGAAAATGGCACCGTTTACTAGCTCGAAACAAATGTGAAAAAATGAACAGAAACCTGGGTCAAAACCAACCAAGAGCTGGGAAAAACTTCGGACAATCAACACATTATGAAACGGAGTCAAACCCAAAGTTTCTCAGGACAAATCCCCAGAGTTATCCAGCAAAAACCATTCTTCGGGTTCCATCTCGGCTTTCAAGAAGGGTACCACTCATGCACACGTTCTGAGTTTTATCATGTTTTGACCAAAACTGTGAAAAATAGAAGGGAGGCCTTCAACCATAAGTTAGTTTTGCTGTATTTACTTACCAAACACATCTGAACGACCTCTGGACGCAGGCGATCCTGCATGTGGAACTTACGCCCGCTATGGTAAATAAAAAGTCTGGTTCCGTTATGAAGCTCCAATTTTCAACAACCATCTTCCCATATAAACCATAATTTTCTGGGTTTTCTCATCATTTTCCGTGGTTTTCCCAGGGCTTCCCGGGCCAGGCACTTCAGCAGCACGCCTGGCGAACTCCGCGCGCTACTGGCGCAGGTGCGCTGCGTGTCCAGATGGCCGCGCTGTGTCAGCTGCGCGCCCGTCACGGCCTTTTTGGCAGCCGATTTTGGCTTTGAAAGCCCGTAACATTAAGTTTATCATGGATTTGATGGGAAACTATCCATATATATAATCATATATCTGCGTAAATTACACTATTTCACTAACCTGAATCTTGCGGCCATTTGGGGATGATTTCCCTTATTAAATCTTATTAACCATATATATATATATATTTATTTATTTATTTACTACCCGTTCATCCGTTTTTTCCCCTTAAACGACTGATTGACGGGATTGACGGGATTGACCCGGCACCTCAATCTCCACCACGTCCATGCTTTGGCAAATCAGCCCTCCGGCGGTTCCCATGATCCTTGCTCCAAGAGATAACTCTGAGATCAAAAAGATTAACCATGGTTGATGATGGTTAATGATGGATTAATGATGGATTAACCATGGTTAATGATGGTTAATAATATAGCTACCTGGTTTTGAAACATGGGCCCATCCAAGCCGGTTGAGAAAACAATTTCCTCACATCATCAATGCACGTGCCATGCTGCCGGGGCATCCCTGGAATCCCTGGTGGCTTACCTCGCTTTCCCCTTAAACGGGTGTAAATCCGTGACAATTTGCCGTGCATTTTTCTTAAAACTGATAGGCCTGGTAGGCCAAACCAAGTTACCATCTGGTAACCATGGCAATAGACACTTCCCCGTGGCGGGTTTCAATCAACAAATCATCTATAAATGATGCATGTTCTTATGATTTTTGCATACCATTCACCAAGGTTTATCCACAAAAGTACCAGGTTCCGATATATAAATAAACATAAACATAAATAATCAAAATAAATAAATAAAATAAACAAATAAATAAAAATAAATAAATGAATAAATAAACAAAAATATATACACCTAACGCATCAGTATATAAATAAACATCTACTAATCTATCCATCCATCTGTATACATATACGTATATATGTACAGAAAAATATAAAATATCAATTTTCCCGTTGGTCTTGTTGGTCTGGCACCAACATGTCTATTGCATCCCTGTTTGGTAACATCCCGCCAAGGCACATGCCGCCAATGCTGCCGATGCCCGCATTGATGGGTACGGACAAACCGAAGGTCAACGGAGCCGGGATGATCCCTCGCAACGGGGAAATCGGTGTTCTTTGGAAGGAACACATGGAAAAGACACGTGAAAGTCTACAGGTTTGGGCCACATTGAAGGGAAAAACCGTTGTAATACACATCGTAACCAATCCAGCCCTTACTCAGTTGTAATAGGTTGGAGCAGGTCTGACCAAGAAAGTTTGCTTCAAACCACCAAAATTGGTCCAATGTGTGTAGGGTATGATGTATTCTTGAAACGGAAGCCTTGATGCTGCTGGTGAATGCTTCGACAGGCCGTTTTTGTTTTCTCTTTCAGTATTCATGTTTATCACCTTTTTCAGGATCAACGGACATTTCAGGAACCTAAATTGGAGGTACCTACCATATATAAGGCCTATGTAAGGGAATATCCCTAGAAAATATGCCCTTATATGGTACAGTACCTTCATTTCAGGATCCTGAAATTCCCATTGACAGGATGGTTGTTGGGTACCGGTGAGCCAACTGCTGAAACGTACATAGCTCCTGGTACGGGGAGAATTTCACCGCTTGGATTCGCTGAACCAATCGCAATTCTAGTTCGATGTTTGAGACAATCTTCCCCAGAACCATGACATCATCAACCAACCGCAACCAGAACCAGGGTGGTTTGTTTACGCTACTTAGTAGTAACCCAGTTCTTACTGGCAGCACCCAAAGTGTGATCATCTGTGATCACTTCCATCTGCGAACGTTGCCATACTCCCACCTCAAAACTGGAGTATTTTCCAATAACATGACTCCCCTGGTGGCCCGGGATATCCCGGTATCATGGGCATGGCTTCAAATTTTTCCACTAACGCTCGGCAATTGAAGAATCACCGGGCCCGGGCCACAGCAGCTCTGACATTTTGGAGTTTTGACTTGTTAGTCTCCGTAAATTTTGCTGGTTAACATCATATCAATAAGACACACGCTTTTGTATTCAGTTTCGTTGGTAGAGCATGTTCCAGAATCCGTTTCTGTTGCTTGAAATTTGCATGTCCTTAATGAAAGCCCTCCTTGTGTTCATGAAATCCACATGCCATGCGCGCCAAAGGTGGAAGGCCCATTTTTGGCCACATCATCCAAGCTCATCCCTTGCACAAAATCTTCCCATGGAGGATCTGCGAATCTCGCCATTCTCCGAAAGTGAAGGTTGACCTATCCTGAATCAATCCCTTAATTTCCCACCGCCATTATCCAAAAACCTACACTTTCACCAGTAGCTGATGACAAAACCCCAGAAACCCCAATGTTTCATGGTTAAAAAAAATGTTTCCTATTATTGAACGACATCCATCCATGTTGTCCTGGTGGTGCACCAGACTTAGCGCAGGTAAGTCACGACTGAGCTGTAGCGATAACGACTATGGTCCATAATTTTTTGGCGTCGCTTTTTGGCCAATGATTTCCATTGGGAACATTTGTAGCTCCAGCTGAAACGGTTGACCTTCATAGTTTGCCAGAAATTCCATGATTTGCAGCAACATTTTCAGCAGCATGCTGTGAGACAATTGAGACTGCTGAATTGCATGGGATACACCCTTTTTCCATCCAACTCCCACCTATTAGCTGCCCTTATGTTGGTGACATATCACAGTTCTATCCCCAATACCCGTCCCCAAAAACTACAATTTTATCCAAATGGATGCACATATACGTGGGACCACAGAATCTCTTGGGGGTGTTACTTTTTTCTGAACGGGGGATGAGCTTCATGAGCACTATTAACCATCAAACACCATCGATAAGCATTAATAACGATGATGCCAACCATGGTTAACCATGAACAACCATGATACTAAGCATTCTTAGCCATTCATTAACCAGTATGATAACCATATGATTTTTTAAAGTCAGTCATAACCATTAACAACCATGATACCAGCCATTAACCTAACATTAAGCCATGGTCATATCGTAAGCATTCGCTTCCAGCCATGGCGCCTGAGAGGAGCCCCACAAAGGCTCCACCAGCTCCACCAGCCATGGCGCCTAAACCACTTGCACTGGCGCAACCTCGGAGCGGTTCAGCGTTCATGGGGAGATTTCCGGTAAAAGAATGCCATAAACCCACACCATACCATGATAAACCAACTGTACTAATGGATATTTGAATGGAAGAACTGCCAGCAAAAATGATGATTTATGGTGATTTGGGGGATGATTTTGATGGTTATGATGGTTTTACTGTTTTAGCATGTTTTACCCAGCTGGATTAAAAAAGGACCGGCGAAGCCGCCAAGCCCAAGGGGATGTGGGATGGCCTACATGCACTTGGATGACCATTTGTATAAAAACAGGAACCAGCCCTACAAGGTGGTGCCCCAGTTCGTTAGCTAAGTTGGTGCACATAACTCCAATGTCACTATGGTTTATGGTAGATATAACTATAGTAACTATAGTATTCATGGGGTTTTTGTTAACCAACATTCACATCACTATGGGGCACCACCAGCCCTAGGGATTCCCGACTTTCATGAAATGTCAAGCAACGCCAATGTTTTCTTCTCAGTTCAACCTAAGGGTATTCCCTTTTCCAGTACATTTGGATGTCTAGATTTCTTTATCTATACATATGGAAAACTATATTTATGTTCAAATTGTGGAATCATGAGCAAATCATTGTTTTTCAGGTCTCAAACCTATATTGCATAAGCCTATTTCACTAGTTTTGGCGAATGATTAAATTTGTGAAAGCGACTCAATATGTCACCAACCCAGGCTTTTGAAACATGTTGTTCTTCCATTTTTGCTGGTTGGTTGGGAAGTGACTTCCAACACCCAAGATAGGAAGAGCAAAATCCCCCAAGTACGGTGCCTTCAAAAATGGCTTTCCCATGTTAACCTCCCCTTCGGAAACTCAGGCTATGGCTCCGGGCCCAACATGGATGTTTTTTTGGTGGCATTTTTCAACAGCGCAGCATTGGTTAAGGTGATCCAGTCCGGAGGTCCCATGTTGTGAATTTGGAACTGATCTGTAGCTTCCACCCATGTATAGAAAGATTTGTGCGACATGTGTGTGACATTTCATCTCAATCACCAGCCATAGCGGCTGACCTTTTGAGCGGACTTCGTGCCATGGCTAAAACGGTGATTCATTGAGTCGTTGTCCAGGTTTACACGACTTAGCCATTCAATCACTGTTCATTTGGAAACATCAATCCTTATCCTTGTCTACCATTGTTGTAGACCAGTATCCTCTGAAACTGGCCCGCTACCAGTTGTCAATCGACACTGGTAGCGGAGCCTAGTTCGAGAAGGGACCAATGACGAGTGCATCGACAACTGATGAGACCAATCCTCGCCTACCGAGATGGGGAGGTGACTGGACACAGTTTCGAGGATATGAACAACGAGTGAGTTTGGAAATTGACCCAACCAGATCAGATGAACTGACCTTGTTAGGACCACGACTAGCAAAGAATCTCTATGACAAAGGTTGGGAAATGATTGAAGACATTGATCGTGCCAAGCTCAAGGAAGAAGATGGAGCCAAGTACTTGCTGAAGTTCTTGGGTGAACAACGAGGACGTGACAAAGTGGACTTACTGGGAGATGCAATGAAAGACCTTCTCATGAAGCAGGATGTGATCCGGAAAGAAGGAGAAGAATTTGCAGAATACTATCCTCGTTTCAGGATTTACACCAAGTCTGTGGAAGCAGCGTTGAAGGAACTGTCAGCTGAGAAAAGCATGCCAGCTGAGTTCTATGGTTGGTATCTTCTGAACCTGGGAATGCGGCTTGAGCCATCAGACATTGCCGTCATACAGAATTGAGGACATTGAGGGAGCCATCAAGAAGATGTGGTCAGGTGGTGGACTTTCGTTGAAAGATCAAGAACGCAAGAAGTGGAAGGGCCTCAGCAAGTCATATGTCGTGCAAGATGAACCATCTCCGCCAGGAATCTACGAGGTGGAAGAGGACACAGGTGTGGATGAAGATGATGAAGACCAAGAACAGCTTGAGGACATTGCGTCTGCTATGCTGGAGAATCCAGAAGATGAAAGCCTGCTGATTGCGTGCCAAGATGCCAAGAAAAAGATGCAGTACAAGGAAGCTCGAAAGATGTTGGCAAAGACAAGAGTTTCCCGGGAGTTCTATCCAGTCCGGACCAAAGGTGGACAAAAGGACTGGGGTGAGAGAAAGGGGAACAAAAGTGAAAGCCAATACTTCGATGGAGACTGCATGCGATGTGGCAAACATGGACATAAAGCCCGAAACTGTCCGCAGAAGTTTGAGAAGAGTGCAACCAGCAGCAAAACTGGAACCGTGAACTATGCTCTGGCATGTGAGAAAAGTGTGCTTCCAGCTTTTGTGACTTTTACTCCGAACAGCACTCATGAGCCCATTTACGCAGTCACAAAAGGAGACACACAGTTTCATGGCATAGTGGACTCTGGCGCATCGGAGAGCATCATTGGTGTTGACACGTTGCAGGAACTGTTCGAAGTCTATGATACATTGGGTTTTGATCCAAGAGCAGAGATCAAGGTAGATCGCACCCTCAAGAAGACCTTCATGTTCGGCAACAGTGCAGTAAGTGAAGCAATTGGGCTAGCTCAACTGACAGTTGGCTTGTTTGGAACTGAACATGTCATTGATGTGCATGTGGTGGATGGCAGCGCACCCCTCCTGTTGTCATCAAAATTTCTGTATCAAATGGAAATGACAGTAGACTTCAAGAGTGGAGCGGCATGGCTGCCAGATCGGAAAAAGATCCAACTGGAAAGAGCACCCAGCTATCACCTCATGCTGCCAATTTTGAACTTTCGACCAGAGAATCATGAAGGTGAAGATGAGTCATTAACATCGAGTACTGAAGGGCAAGAATGTACAGATCCGTCAAAAGGTCAGCCTAGTGAGTAGGGACAGCTCCACCTGGGAAGCAATGGTGAAATCGGGAATACCCAGAGTGGAAGTTTACAACCCGACAATGTACAGAGTGTTTCCATCCCTGATGAAGCGGTTGAATGTTGTTTGTGTGTTGAGCCTGTTGTCAATGACCATTGTTTTTCGTCGCTGAGTAAACGCCAACAGGAGGAACTGTCACATGTTCATCAAACTCAAATACAGGAAGTTTTGGCAGGTTTTGACATGGCCATTGGAAGACAGTATGATCTCATCGAGGTTTGTGCGCCTTGGGACTCCCCATTAGTCGAAGAAGTTGAGAGACAAGGGGGGAAAGGAATGAGAATGGGATTACATAATGGTTATGACTTGAGTACTAGGGCCGGTTTTTTGAAAGCTGTTGATGTTCTCAGAAAAACCAGACCAAAAAATGTTCATTTGTCGCCACCATGTTTTCCATGGACTCAGTTTCAGAACCTGAATCAGCGAACCCCAGCGCAGTGTGCAGAGCTCGGCCAGAAACGTGAACACAGTCGCAAGATGCTCAAGAATCTAAAGAAGTTGGCTGAGATCCAGATCAAAGAGTTGGAGGGTGAGCTGAGTGGTGAACAACCGTGGACAGCCCTGTCCTGGAAAGAGAAACCTGTTGAACAGTTGGTCAAGATGACGGGTGGTCGTTTTCGTGTTGACGGGTGTCGTTTTGGTTTGAAACATCCTGACAATGGTTTGTTGCTTCAAAAGGGATGGGGCTTTTTTGCGACTTTGCCTGAGCTGCGTCAGAAATTGGCCAGAACGTGCAATCATCCTGCTGCCATGCATGACCGTATAGAAGGGAAAGTGACAGCCATGTCGGCTATCTACCCTAAGGAACTTTGTAAAGTGTATGCTACCTGCATCTTAAACAGACAGCATGAGTTCCGAGCTCTATGCAGAAAAATGCATCAGACTCAACAGTTTTGTAAGCACAGTGAGTTGGGAATCTATGCAAATGAACCCGGGGAAAATCCGGGCGAAAATCAACCGGCGATAGAAAATGCACCAGCTAGAGAACAAGTCGCCGTGCCAAATCCAGAACAAATGGTGGAAAACCCTGAGGAACCGGGAGTTTTGACTGGTGAGGAGAGTGCTCGGTTAAAGGTTATCCACAAAAATCTGGGTCATCCATCAAATGCTGTTTTGAAAAGAATGCTGAGCGAAGCTCAGGCACTTCCCAAATTCATTGAGGCAGCAGGAAAGTTCAGTTGTGACATTTGTAAAAAGCAAGCACAACGAAAACCAGTGCTTCCGGCAACCCCACACACTCCCAAGAACAAGTGGGAGGTGATCAGTTGCGACACTTTTTGGTGGAAGAGTCCATTCACGAATGAGGATGGAACTGTGACACACATTGTTGGTGTGAGCTATCTTGATGAAGCCACGGACTTACATGTTGCGAGCGTGGTTCGAAAAGACGTCCGCATGCCACCTTCCGTGAACACTGAGGAGTTTATCAAACGATTTTGCAAAGATTGGTTGAAGTGTTTGCCTAAACCTAAGATGGTCAGGGTTGATACTGAAGGAGTTTTTCGTGGATCACGTGTGGTTGAATGGTTTGAAGAACAAATGATTCAAGTTGCTCCTATTGCTGGAGAAGCGTATTGGCAAGTGGGTAAGCACTCCAGACATTTGCACACCTTGAAAGAACAAATGACTAAATTAGCGCATGAGCTAGGACCTGGAGTGGATCCCAAAGAACTTCTGGCACTTTGTGTTTCGGCAAAGAATGAGATGCATGCGGTGCGAGGGTATAGTCCTAATCAGTGGGCTTTTGGGCAAAACTCTGATCGCATTTTTTCCACCTTGAATTGTTATCAACATCTTCCCAACATGTCCTCGGAAAACCCCAGTTTTCATGAAAACATCAAAAAGATGTCCAAAGCACGTGAGATGTTCATTCAAGTTGACAGTGCTCGCAGAATTTTGAGGGCGGGGGAAATGAAAAGTAGGAAGATGCAAGAGTTTGATGTTGGTATGTTGGTGTATTATTACCGAAAAGGCAGAGGACAGAATGGAAAAATCCGTGGTCAATGGCATGGTCCTGCACGAGTGTTGTTCATTGAAAAAACCACTGAGGGAGAGAGACAGAGTCCTGGGTCTATTATTTGGGTTTCTCATGGTACTGTTCTCTTAAGATGTGCTCCCGAACAACTGCAACCTGTGAGTCGTGACTTGAACCAAATTGATCAAGAAATCAATGGTCCTTTTTCTCCTGAGGAATTTTTGCGGGGTAAACATGTGTACCAAGATTTGTTTCAAGAACGTGAAAATCTTGAAGATGATGTTGACGGTGATGATGATTTTGCTTGGTTACATAACCCTGACAACATGGATATTCATGAAGGAACACCGGAAAACAACCCAGAGGGTCCTTTGCGTCGAGTGAGATTCCAGCTCAAGAGATCAATTGAAAGTCCAGAACTCGATCGTGTTGCAAGCCAGCCCGATGACCGACTTGGCGAGCCGTATCAAGATGGTGCAGAGCCATCGGGTGGAAGACAAGATCGACTACAAGAAGGTCACTCTCGAGCAGATGGAAGAGATGAAACTCAAGAAAGGCAAGTACGAGGGCGAGATGTTCAAGAGCATCTGGGACCGGGAGCCAGGGTACTGCGTATGGTGCGCAGGGCATCTCAAAGCCGAAGATCCAATGTGGAAGCCATTTCTCCATTACCTCAAGATGAAAACCGAGAGCCTCGAGAAGACGACCAGCAAAGCAGCACCATCCGACCCGGACAAGGAGGTCAAGAAGCTGGCCGATATGAACCGATTCGTGGAGGAGTTCGGGACAGAACCAGACGCAGACTGGGATGCAGTCAGCCATATGAGCGAGAAGATGATCGGGGACATGAAGGAGATGAAGGAGAAGGAAGAGAATCGAGACCAGGTCATGTTCCAGATGATGCAGAACATGAACCAGATCATGGGTCGTCTTCAGGATCTGGAATCCGCCACCACGGAGATCGTGAAACACATGAATCCGAACAAGTGAGTGAGCATGGGCAGAAGAGATCGAGTGCCTCACACAGCCCAGCACCAGGACTGAGGGACAAAAGACTAAAAACTGAGTACACCAAAAACTTGAAAGTTTGTGAAATTGTTCTCATGGTTTGTCCTAGGGATGTTCATTTTAATAAGCGTGAAAACGGAGGTTGTTGGATGGTGAACGCGAAAACCAAGCGAAGCGCTGAAGTGAACATCAGGGATATGAATGAGGAGGAACAAAAACAAATGAGACAGGCAAAGGAAAAGGAGGTGAACTCGTATATGGAACACGCTGCGGTTGAAATCGCTCACAAACAAGGAAGGTATTGATCCCTCTAGGGTTTTGGGCATGCGTTGGATTTTGACTTGGAAACGTGAAACGGATGAAACAGGTGAGGTGACAGGCAGAAAACCTAAAGCGCGACTGATTATCAAAGGTTTCCAGGATCCTGATCTTCTCAAAGTCCAACGGGATTCACCTACTCTTGGCACCACAGGTAGGAACCTTTTGTTTGCGATTACCAGTTTGAAGGGTTGGAAACTTGCAGTCGGCGATATCAAAACTGCGTTTTTGAATGGAGACGATACGGAGTATGACAGAAACATTTATGGTGAACCCCCTGATGATGTGAAGGACATTTTGGGTATGACCTCTCAACAATTGTTTCGAATCCGTAAAGCCATTTATGGTTTGTTGAATGCTCCTCGAAGATGGTTTGAAAAGATCACCAAGGAACTGGAAAAAGCTGGTTGGAAACGTTCCATTCTTGAACCATGTATCTGGCGGTTGTATGAAAATGATCAACTTGTTGGTGTTATTGGTTGCCATGTTGATGACATTGTTGTTTCTGGTCATGGGGTTCTGTTTGAAAAGAAAATTGCTGAACTTCAACAAGTGTTTCCCTTTGGAAGTTGGAAAGAAGCCATGCATGAAACTATCACTTTTTGTGGGGCCGAACTTCGTCAAACGGCAACTGGTGAAATTCAAGTCACTCAAGAGCGCTATGCCTATGGTTTGAATGAAATCAACATGAGCAGAGAACGAAAAGCACAAGAAGAGCTGGATGCTACTGAAGAGGAAAAGAAAGCGATGAAAGGTCTCTTGGGAGGCATAGCATGGCGTGCCAACCAAACGGCGCCTTGGTTGTCAGCAACTACGTCAATTCTACAAGGACATAACCAGAATGCTAAGGTCAAGGATTTACTCTTAGCCAACAAATTGTGTAGACTTCAAAGGGCTCAGGCGGAGGTAGGTTTGAAATTTACCACTCGCGTTAAAAATCCTATGGTTGTGACCTTTACGGATGCCAGCCACGCCAACAGACATGATGGAACTTCTCACGGGGGATCTCTTACCATTCTTACTGATCAAAGTATTATGGATGGTAAACATGCGCCTTTTTCGATCCTTTCATGGCATTCCCGAAAATTGAAAAGAATTTCTAGAAGCTCCACATGTGCTGAAGTACAAGCTTGTTCCAATGCACACGACGATGCGGAATTTGTCAAGCAGTTGCTCTTTGAAATTGAAGATGTTAATGGTATTCATCATTCTATTTCCGATGAATGTATTGCCACCATTCCCTCTGCTGTGATCTGTGACGCCAAAAATCTGTACGACTCGGTGACTCGGATGATCTCTTCAGGGTTACAGTTAGAGGAGAAAAGATTGTCTCTTGAAGTGTTGTCAATTCGAGAAAGATGCGAAAATACCAATTCCACTTTGAAATGGGTTGACTCGGATCAGCAAATTGCAGATGATTTGACCAAACTTTTTGCTGTGGACAAAATGTTGATGATGTTGAAACGTGAAACGTGTTGTATTGTTTTTGATAGCTCCTTTACGTCGGCGAAGAAAAAGCGACAGGAGATTGCTTCGAATTTGAAGAAGGCTATAACATCCGGGATGGAAAAATCTCCTGATGGAAGCTAAAAAGAAAAATGGTCAGTGTGAATTTGGAACTGATCTGTAGCTTCCACCCATGTATAGAAAGATTTGTGCGACATGTGTGTGACATTTCATCTCAATCACCAGCCATAGCGGCTGACCTTTTGAGCGGACTTCGTGCCATGGCTAAAACGGTGATTCATTGAGTCGTTGTCCAGGTTTACACGACTTAGCCATTCAATCACTGTTCATTTGGAAACATCAATCCTTATCCTTGTCTACCATTGTTGTAGACCAGTATCCTCTGAAACTGGCCCGCTACCAGTTGTCAATCGACACATGTGGTCCCCGTTCATCTCACCAAGGATCGGTTGGCTTTGGACATCACCGATAAATCCAGGGAAATCTGCGTCGGTGCCTGGAGCAAAAAGGGGATGAGCCACCATGCCACCAGCCATGCAATTCGATTAGAATGTTACAGGGATCAAACGTGATCAAACCGACATGGGAAAAAAGAAAACACAATAAACAAACCCAAATTGCAGATGGAATCAACAAAAAACAAATGTTAAAGCACTGGAACCCATTTATCTTTCACTTTGGATAGGTTGAGGATGTGGCTACATTTTCGGCAATCAAACAACATCACCGTTGTGCCAAAAAAATGGCTGGTTGTGTAGAAAGTTGACTAAAAAAGTTGGTTCAGCCCCATTCAACTACACAGTGGTTAGGAGCTAAGGAGCTATAGGCATTCATTTTCCCCCAAAAATGGTGAGTCGAGGAGGAGCTACTAAGAGTTTCCAAACCATATGATAGGCCAACAAACTAAAACGCCAAGGTATTCATATGCCCAATTCACATCAAACCTCTCTCATTCGCTGGGGTGAGTCACCCTGGTATTAGGCTGGTTAAGCAATTTTTTAGCCGTCTCCATTTAGAATCATTAAAATCCCATACTTTGGTTGGTTTAAACCATCATTTTGCTTGGTTAAAACCCTTATTTTTGATGGTGAAATACCCCAGTCAGTTCCAGTCGTCACCAAGGGATCGACCTCCGACTGCAAGACGCTGCGAAAGGAGAGCGGCACCAGGGCAGATCGATGCGAGATCATGGCTTCCACTTCATCGCCTCGGAAAAAAAGGGGGTACCATGAACCAAACCTGAAAAAAAAACCTGAAAACCACTCCTTTTTCCCATTGAAACCCATCATTTCCAGATGAATCGTTATAGATAATTACCATTAATCACACATCCAAATGAAAAGGTCCATTTTCTGGATAATTTTCCCATTGAAAACCATCATTGAATCGCTGATTTTTCCAAACAAATGTTGAGGTGCCTGCTCTTTCAAGGTTCCCAGTCACATCTGACAGCATTTGACTGGGAAGTGTCTGCTGATTCGGTTTTTGTGTAGCTCATCAACATCGGTGCGATACCTTGAAACTGTAGGAACTCAAGTAAGTCAAGGCCAACACATAGTCATGCATTGAATATTCAACATAGCTTGATGTTCTTTTCATACACTGCTCTGTATGTTATTTGGGGATTTTTGGAACACATTCTCAGTGACAAGTTTCCAGCAGCTTTTGAAACCGAAGCTGGTGTTGTCTGCAGACTTGTTTTAATGTGAGATAGCGCATTTTGCACCAGCAACATGTGGCAGCATCAAATCTCAATTCACGTGGTACGAGTCTGAGTTCGTAACATAGGGCCTGAGCACATCTGAGTACCCAATCTTTTGGGGTTTGCCCAATCTTTTAGGGTTTTACCGTTTTACCATGGTTTATCCCAGTTTTCATGTGTTGTAACTCCATTTCAGCGCGATTTAACCTTAATGAACTGGGAGGGAAAGCAAGACCCGTCACATCTTGTCACCCCCATCCCATAGCTATCCGAGCTGCATTCCACCAGCAGTTCCTCATCATCCTCACTAGAACTCAGGAGATCGCTGGACAGCATCGAGTCCTCCGGCAGTGTGAGGCCCCCGGCCGTTCGAGAGCGTTCAGTTGGTGCACATAACTCCAATAACTAACTATGGTTTATGATACGCAAATAACGAACTAGTTACTGGGGCGAATCTAAACCAACTTACAACTGGGGGGCCTCATATGGTAGCCAATGGCGAGATCACGCCAGTTGAAATGATGTCATTTTTGGGGGAACAGCATGACAGCATACCACATTTTCAGAAAGATGAACATGCACAAGCAATCACCTATTTTCAGAGATATCTGATATCTGAGGGAAAAAAGTGCGGCATTTTTTTGAGGCAGATATTCAGATGGGATCCATTCATCAAGAATGGGGGAATGTTTGGAATGTTTGGAATGTTTGAAGGTGGATCATGGGGGTTCTCCATCAACGGAGATATGACTAACCGACTAACCAATAGAATGGGGACAATGCAACACAATAGAATGATCATACCGTACCATGAATGAAGGGTCTGGATGGTGGTTGGTTTGATGGATCCCTTCATTTTACAACAGGTTTCAATGTCCCCTTCAACCAACTCTGGGACTTTATGTGATTTATGTGGATTTGCCATGATTTGCTGTTTAAACTGGTTGTTTCCAAAGAACAATGTTATCCCTTAAAGATTTTCCAAATGAATTGGTGGATTAACAAATTGCAAAGTAAACCGATATTCAGCGAATCTAAGTTTGGAGATACTGAATCTGATCGCTAAGGACTGCAAGCCTACACAAGACGATCGTCAAAACATGTCTGGAACCGTGCTTATTTTTAGTATTTCCTCTTTCTGGTTTTGGATACGACCTTTCTTTGGGGCATACATTGTGTTCAACAAGACTCAGAATAGGGAAGACTAATGCGGAATTCACGGAACCAGTACCAATCAGCAACGACCAAGTGGGGACCAAGTGAGGGCGTAGAAGCAACAAGACCGGTGATATTCTTAAGAGACCACAAAAATGGATGTAACATGATGTAACCAAGGACATCAGGCGTGCAAACAACAAACAGTTGTGGGACGGACACTGATCTTCGACAACCAAGTTTAGGATTGAAATCAACAAAAATGGAGAGAAGTATAGAAAACATATGTCGTACGCATCACACTAGTATAATATAGTGCATACAATTAAGTGGCCAGTTTCATACAATATCGATGCCACATTCTCCGGGATATTTTTTCAGCGTCTTGCCAAAGGGGGCCGACATTTCAAGAATGTCAGTTACATTCTTCCTAAACATCTGGGCACATACCATGAATATATCAATGACGATTTCACAAGTAAACGTAAACCCGGTGGGCCTTGACTTACCAACCTCGCATCAACTTAAATTGGGGGTGTGGTTTGTATCAAACAATTCGCCGTGAAGAAGTGCAGAATCTTGATCCGCCCAACTCACCAGTCGGTTTACCAATATCATGGCATTTTTTTGTTGCACACTTTGATCGCTCGGTTAATTGCTTGGTTAAACCTTCATTTAAATATTACGCATGGTTAAACCCTGATAAAGCATGGTTAAAGCCTATTAAACCATGATTAATCCATCATTAACCATGATTAATCCATCATCAACCATCATTAATCCATGATTGAAGGAGTTTGAGAGGAGTTTGATCAATGAATTTCTTGATCCAAGTCCTCCAACTGGCCTCGTGTACACAATTCAAAGTTGGACGTGCCGGGCAGGGCTTGGCAGGTAAGCCGCACTTTCCTGAGGCAGACATGGGTTGATGATTGATACCTATGGAGATAGAAAACATGTATATTATATATATATATTATAATACAAATGTCTATAAACATGATGCTGATATGATATGTTGCCATCAAAAAATGGGAGGCATGAAGTAGATTCACTGGGTCTTGGGACACCCTATATATGAAACTTGACTGGAACAAAATCATGTCTGGCGCAGCCTTCAGGTCTACGAAATTCGGGATTTCAGTGAACCTCACAATTCACACATCATCTTAACACCATGCCAATTCCCAAAGAAGATCATTTTCCCAGAAAAATTGCAGTTTCCAACCTTCTAATCTTCAAAAACCATCAAGACATGAAGAATCGGCATGTTTATCAACAACCAAGTTTCCGTCCAGCAGCAACGGCAAGGGGGGTACCCTCAACTGTTGCACGTGGTGTTCGTTTTCAGCATCGCTATCACTGTCGCTGTCACTTGTTGGCTCATAGACCTCCGTACGCACCACAAAGATCCACAAAGCTCATAGTATTATGATGTTCAATTTTCGGAGTGGCTTCCTGTTGAAGCTGTACCTTGCCTTTCTCTGGTTGAATTTGCTCAACTTAATACATCCCAATGCTCAGGAAGGCTTCTAAGCCGCGTTTGTAGGTAAATGGATGTGGAACAATGATGGCTTAACCGGCTTAACCAACTCTTTCTCCTGGGGAGAATGGGCATTTCACCGCCAACATGATCAATCATAAGTCATGGTTTGCCGGAAAATCATGGTTTGGAGATATTTCCAGAAACAGAAGTCTATTTCACTTTTTAGGGTAGCACCAAATCCACGTTAAAAAAACGTCAATCTTTGGGGTGAAATCTATGAAGTCTTTTTCATTGCTGGCTGCATTCCATACCTCCGTGCAGTCACACTGTTCAAAATTAGCCTTGTTTCAAGGTAGTTGGATGTAGGACTGGTACACTTCTTATTTCTCTACAAGGTCTGGTAGGTGATAAAAATATCACCCGTTGGGCTGTTGGCATTTTTTCCTCAACACCAAAGCCACCCTTCGTAACAACTTCCGGTGTCAAACATTCGTTGGAAAAAACCCAATTCTATCGATGATGTTCCGATGCAAAACTCCATAGATAATTTCCCATCCAAAACACCATTGATAGGTGAGATTTTCAAAATTCTCCCATTAAAACTCAAATCAAACATGTCCCTCTCGGATTTTCCATATCAACGGCCATTTCAGGAACCGATTGATTGGAGGTACCTACCATATATAAGGTCTATTTTTGAGGCCTAAATTTCAGGGGATATACCCCCAATTCATATGGTCTGAAATATGGTACGTTTACGTACCTCCATCAATTGGATCCTGGAGATCCTCCATTTTCCATGCCGAAACCCTTGATTTTTGGCGCCTTGGTCAATGCCGAAACCTTCCCGGCCGTGGCGATGCGACTGCGGGCGGAGACAGGGACGGATCTCCTTGGTCGAGCGCGCGAAGGCGTTTTTTGAAACGCCGAAAAAAAGTAGCTGAATTCTACAATGTGAGGCCTCCTAGATAGCTAAGTTGGTTTATAACTCCAATAACTATGGTTTATGATACTTATACCTATAACTATAGTTACTGGGGCTTATAAACCAACTTATAACTGGGGGGCCTCACATTGTATGGTTTATGGTACAAGGAACTAGTTGCCATGGGGTCTATAAGCCAACTGATTATTATAACATTATGAACTGGGGGGCACCATCCTGTATAGATATATAGTTATGGTATGGAATAGAACTATCGGAATAGTTTCATGGTCTTTCCACAAATAAACAGAAGTATCAGAATTGTTATCAAATGTTTTAATAGTCCATGGTTCATGACAATTATCATTCACATGTTGTTTCACTGTCCAAAATGGCGAATTTATGGTACCCTTCTGGAACTCAAAGGTGGCAATTGGAAATCCACATCACAAAGGGATTTTCCAATATTTAAAAGGTGAAAACCAGGGGCCTGGTCCGGGAGTGCCCCAAGTTGCGGCAATTTTTCACTAGGAAAAATTGAAGGTCGACCTTTTAAAATGATGAAAATAACAAGCCAAATAACAAGCAACTGTGGATGGTTAGCAAAAAACAGGAGGACCCAGCGATAGTAAAGATAATCAAGATAGTAAAGACCTGCCAAGCCACAAAAAAATAGTACTTTTTGGGGCTTGGAAGGTGACATCATATGACATCACATTGTCCCCAGAACAAGGCTTAGTATTCTTCTGGATGAATCAGGTTGATTCACCATTTGCCATTGAAAAAAACCAGGTCATTCGAACTTTTTCTCGCGGATTCGCTGGGTTCACGAGCTGTTCATCTCAGGATGGACACATTTCGAAAATCACGTGGTAAACCCAAAAACAACCACTGGACCACACCGAATTACAACATATTACACATGGATGTTTCAAAAATGGAATATGTGAGCAATCCATGGTAACGAATATAAGGAAAATGATGATGCACCTTCATTGATTAGGGATACGATACTTTCACACAAATCCAAATGTGTTTTCTCTGAAGCACACGGGTTTACCACCTTGTTCATCAGGAAACCACCAACCAAGGGTGTCACATCGCTAACCCAAACAATAGGCGTCGCCGCCTATCTTGTTCTGTTTCGGCAGCTTCGGCAGCTTCTTCCGCCTCTCTCTTTCTTCTCCTCTCTTCTTTGATTTCTCGGCGCCGTCTAGCTTTGAATTCTTCTATTTCTTCCAGCCTTTCCAGGCACCTCAGGTGCCTCAGGTACGCCTCAGAGTACTCATCAGTGGGTTTCTCCTTCGTGTCCAACTTGTCCTTCTTTACTTCTGTGGACCCCTTCGTCATTTTTTCATCCTTCTCCTTATTCTTGTCCTTTCTTACTGTTCTGGACCCCTTTGTAGTTTTTTTATTTCGCTTCTGAGTTTTGCGAGTTTTGCCCCTCCCTCCACCTTGCCCCTTGGCTGTTTGCCGCTTTTCTGCAGCCATGGGAATCTTCTTGGCAATCTTCTCTATCTCCTCAGTTTCCTTTTTTTTCTTTCCTTTTGGTGCCTTGCTTTCTGGAATCTGTTGGGCCTTCTCAGCTTCATGCTTCGGAACCTTCGGGTTTTCCTCAGTTTCAGGAGCTTTTCTGCATTTTTCAGGAACTTCATCGATCTTGGCATCCTCTTCCGCCTCCGCATCTTCATCAACTTCCGTCTGCAGTTTTCGCTGCAGCGCTTCGAAGCTGCGCCGCCACGAGGCACTCCCCATGGTCCCGGGCAGCGACGGCCACGACGGGTCTTGGAATAAAAGATCCAGGCACCACATAAGGTGGCGAAGCCTGGGCTGTGCTGCTGCTGTTCCTAAGGTAAATCATACAATCACCAAAGGACAGAAAATACCTTGGAAAACCTGGAAACAGAAATTTCAGCATCTATTTTGTGGTTTGCCAAGTTTACTAAGCAGTGAAGGGACTGTTCAATTGCCAACTTCTGTGTCTGTTTAAGGCATGTTTCGACACTTCATCCACATGCTCAATAAACACCAAGAAACAACAAGAACATCTCCTTTCTCCAGCAAATTCCGGGACAGTCTCACATTGTATTTCTCACTGAAAAACAAGGTAAATATAACTATTCATATGTATATATGTATATGCACATGTATGCATCCGCCCATATGTTAAACTTACAACCTCACACTGATAATGGCCATGATTATCAACAAAGGTTCAAATTTCCAGCCACATATCAGCCATTTATCAACCGTATCCCAGGAAACAAATATGGAAACGGCTGAAGCCGCATCGCGCTGTTGTGAATTTCCTCCGCTAAGGTTTGTAACATCTCCAAGATCAGCCAGGCTTCGCCTTGGGGGGTCCAATATAGCCATGGTGATGGCCCTAATCGAAATAGATGGTCTTCCCAGCGAACGAAACCTCCATTTATGGTTGGGATTTTCCATGGCGAACTGTTAGTCATAACCAGGTTGGGTAAATTTCTTCCATGAAAATAAAGATTTCACAATGGGCGTTGAGGAATCATGGTAACTACTGTATGTAGGACCTAGGATTACAATGATTTTGAGGGTATTTAACATGAAACTTTTCTTTGTCCTACTGTTCCTGAACCCTATGGGCTCAAACCAAAACTATTTAAAGTAATATCTTTAAATCATCAAAACCATTTAAAGGATATCTAAAACGTTCTAAAACCATCAAAATCTGCAGACGAAAGTCTGGAGAGGAAAGTAGATAATATGGATTGAAAAGAGCCGTGTGCAGGGCATCTGACAGAGGTTCAGCACGAAACAGGCCAAGACAAAAAAATGCAACGCAGATATTTTTTTGATTCATTGTGATTTCTTCTTCGTTGTTTTACATTGGTTTGAATACTTGGTTTTTGGTTGCTAAATAAAAATCAACAGACAGCTGTCCCCCTCTATGAAACAGGAACTCGCCAACAGAAAAGCAGCCCCCACCCTCTATAGAATCAGGAACCCACAGAAACACCGGCTCCTCCCAACAAGCAGAAATAAACAAACAATAAACACTATGATAAATAAACAACAAATAAAGATCAAATTAAACACCTACAAATTATTTCAAATTTTAGCCTCTTAACCTGTGGGCCTTGTGGACCATGGAGGGAACTATGGAAGGGACTATGGAAGAAACCAGGGCAATAAGGATATCTTATAGAAGGTGATGTTAGAAACCATGTCAAGGGAAAATTAGCAAGCTTTTGAAGAAGTAAAGTAACAAAACAATGCACACAGCGAGGACACATCCAGATTCATCAATCTGGAGGTGCACTAAAAGTCGTGAAGTACTTGACCTAAATTGAATTTGTATTGTGGACCGGTGATGAATTCAGTTTTGCTAATAACAAAAACTTGCCATGGATACTTTATACCTATCTGATCCACAGTCTATAGATATAAAATTCTGATTGTGAGATTGGGGTGAACTTATGTTTCGGTCTTTCTTTTGAAGACTAAATCTACTTAGGTAATCTTAGGTGCAAATAAAATTCTACTCAGGCGTCACGAACTGACGCCTAAGTAGAATTCTATTTGCGCCAGATAGATTATGCATTCCAAATTCTAGCCTGGGGCTGTTGGAAGACAAAAATCATAATCTACTTGGGCGCAAAAAGAATTCTGCTTAGGCGTCACGAACTGACGCCTAAGTAGAATTCTTTTACTATTTGTGCCTTATTAGACCATGTCTTCCAAATTCTAGCCTGGGGCTGTTGGAAGACATTATTCATAGTCAAAATCTACTTAGGCGCAAATAGAATTCTAGTCTGGGGCTGTTGGAAGACATAATTCATAATCCACTTTGGCGCAAAAAGAATTCTGCTTAGGCGTCACGAACTGACAACTAAGTAGAATTCTATTACTATTTGCGCCTTATCAGACCATGTCTTGCAAATTCTAGTCTGGGGCTGTTGGAAGACATAATTTATATTCATAATCTACTCATGCGCAAATAGAAATCTAGCCTGGGGCTGTTGGAAAACATAATCCATGATCTACTTAGGCGCAAATAGAATTTTGCTTGGGCGTCACAAGCTGACGCCTAAGTAGAATTCTATGTGCGCTTAAGTAAATTATGCATTCCAAATTCTAGTCTGGGGCTGGCATTTGGGTGAAAATATGGTTTGCTTTCCCTTCAAGATGGGAGACATACTCAGGCGACAGAAACAAACGCCGAAGTGGAATTCTATTTGCAGCTAATTAATTTTCTAGTGTGAGACTGGGCTAAATTCAGCTTTGATGACTTAACAACCTTGCCCCAAATACTTGAAACCTTGAATAAATACACAACCCGCATACAGATAGTGGGTTTAATTTATGATGCTGCATTTGTTTGAGGGAAGATTCAGGCGGTTTAAGCGCAATTGGAGAAATACTTAGGTGGAAGGAACAGGCGCTGAAGTCGAATTCTATCAATATGTAATTTCAATTATTTGGAAGGCAGTCCATATGTGTTTGGGCGCGCTGAGCTGGCTTCTGCAATGTGTTCAGGCTGTTGGGATTATGTGATTTCCCTTTTCAAAAAAAGAACAAAGGCAATGCTGGTTGTTGGCTGCATTCCCATTGCTGTCTTTTTCCCCACCAGTTCTGGATGGATCAAAAATATGCAGTAGCGGCAGCAGTGCAACATCCAGGCTATATTGTTGGTATTTTGTCACTCTGGCAAGACTGTTGCTACTACCGTGCTACTACCCATACAAGAAACAAACTATATTGCATATAGCTGCCGATAATTTCTTGGACCATGATTTGATACTTTTCAGAATATATATATAGCGCTAGCGGTGGGGTTCTTGAGGGTGATGATGGGTTACTTTCAGGTTGGGACTAATGCATCCGGAATGGCTCAACCTTGTCCGTGCCTTCCTATTCCGGGATTCTTGGCACAGAGAACCAATTTACGTGACAATTTTCTTAGCGCAGAGGTCTCCAGAACGGTTCGGAACGGTTCTGCAGACCTCCAGAACGGTTCGGAACGGTTCTGCAGACCTCCAGAACGGTTCGGAACGGTGCTGCAGACCTCAACTTTGCACGGAAATATTTCTCCACAGCTTCCAAACCCCCCCAAAAAACGGTCAAGAGCAGTTCCTCCTGTTTCGCATTTTCAAAACCTTCCAAAGAGCCGCCCTGTGGCTCCAAGGGCCAAGGCCACAAGAGAAAGGAATCAGAAAAACGACAAAGGGAAGGCAACTTCTCCGCCTAAGTCTTTGAACAGGCAGTGCAAAGGCATGCTGAGCACAAGGGAGAAGGTGAAACTGGATGTAGACTACAAAAGGCTGGAAGTTTCTCAGCTGTTTGTTCATGGAAGGCGTGGCCCCTTTCAAAATCTTACCTGTCTTGAAAACTGTTCTGTGGAATCTTTTCTAACAAAATCATACAACTGTGTAGTTTGTATTGAAATATCCGTTTGAAAGTATCGCTTGTGTTGAATCATCATTGCTTATGGTACTAGTATGTGTTTATTTGTTCAAACTCTATGTATTAAAGTAAAATAATTATATAGTCAAAATATGCTATTATACAAGTTAACATATGCTATTATATGGAGGTCTCCGGAACCGTTCCGAACCGTTCTGGGGTCTATAGGCTTTGAATCCGGAACCGTTCCGGAACCGTTCTAAATAGTTCTAAATAGTTCTGAGGTTTTGGAAGTATCCGGAACCGTTCCGAACCGTTCTGGGGAAATCCCCGGAACCGTTCCGAACCGTTCTGCAAACCCCAAATAATGGCTTATATGTTAACTTACTTTTATACTTGTATATAACTTGATAAAACCAAATATACACACTTGTAGCTTATAGCTACTTTGTAAAATACAACTCATAATCCATAACTCTTGACTATCAAACTTCAATAAATCAATTTATAAGGTTTAGGAACTGTTTTAAAATTGAAACACATTGTTATAACATGTTAGAACTGTTAATTTACAACTTAGAGCTTCTAGCTATGACTTGACACTAAAAACCGTGTAACTTATAACTTTGTAACCTTTTTAACTTTGAACTTACAACTTATAACTAAAACTTAGAACCTTTAACTTGTAACATAATTTTGACTTTACTTCTCGATTTGACTTCAACTGTTTAACACTTTATAAGTATATTTTTGATGTTTGCTTTACTTTACTTGCTTTGTATTTATGATTTATATAAGACTGTTTGAGTTTTTAGATGAATTATATGTTCTTGTTTGTTCGTGTATGTTTGAAAGTTTGGAAGTATATCGACGGGGTTTGTTTGTATAAAACGCAACAATAAAGTTTAAGCGTTGTATTTGGATAAAATGACATATTTATAATGATTGTAATCTGTTACTGCAACACTGCTACGGACCAATGCACAACAACGTAGCGACAGAAATGCAGTAACACATCTTTGATCTGCTACAAATACGTAGGATTCCGTTTGCAGTTGATAAATTTGTTTCACCATGTTTTACCTAAGTTTTACCGTGGTCTTCGCAGCACCGAAAACAATACTTAAAAACTGTGGATTTGCATTTGCAGTTCATCCATGCACATGAGCACACAGCCATACATACACTCATCAATGCACTAGTTAACCAATTTTACAGTATACAGGGTCACATCGTAATATTGTTTTTATGAGTTCTCTTTTCTAGTTGGGGCTTGCGCACATGCATTCTTTGGTGTTCTCCTTTTTGAAGAAATATGGGGCCCCGAATTACACAGATGTTGTATATTGTTGTATACTGTTTTCCTTTCCAACTTACGGACCAATATTTTCAAATACGAAATTTGTATGTAACATCTAACTTGATGTTGAAAGGTTTTTTGTCCAAGAACTTGGAGCAATGCGTTTCCCTTTCAAAGTGGTGGGTTTCTCTTTCAAAGTGGTGGGTTTCTTCATTGGGTGACATTTTTAGTGGAAACACCCCTTATTTCCATGGATTGCTACATAGTTCTTTCCATAGTTCTTTCCCTGGACATATGAAATCAACAGGAATCCAAATTTAAGAGACTAAGGTTTGAAATAACCTAAAAACAAATAAAGCACCCCATTATTTCCCTATTGCTTCCCTATTATTTCAAAATATTTCCATATTATTTCCCTCATATTTCTCTATTATTTCCCTATTGTTTCCCTATTATTTCCATATTATTTCCTTCATATGTCTCTATTATTTCCCTATTATTAACCTATTGTTTCCTCATCATTTCCATATATTTCTATAGCATTTCCCTATTACTTCCCTATTTTCCCTATTATTTCCATATATTTCCATATTATTTCCCTCATATTTCTCTATTATTTCCCTATTACTTCCCTATTATTTCCATATATTTCCCTATTACTTCCCTACTTTCCTTATTATTTCCATATATTTCCATATTATTTCCCTCATATTTCTCTATTATTTCCCTATTATTTCCATATATTTCCATATTATTTCCCTATTATTTCCTTATTATTTCATTATTGTTTCCCTTTTTGTTTCCCTATGATTCCCTATTATTTCCCTATTGCTTCCCTATTATTTCTCAAATTATTTCCGTATTGGTTCCTATTATTTCGCTATTATTTCCTATTGTTTCCTTATTAGTTCCCTATATTTCCCTATATCCTATTATTTCCTTATTATCTCCGACTATCTCCCGACTATTTTCCTATTATTTCCCTATTGTTTCCCTACTATTTCGCTTTTATTTCCGTATTGTTTCCCCATTATTTCCCTATCATTTTCTATCATTTCACTATGGTTACTTATTTTTCCCCTATTATTTCCATATTGGTTCCTCATTATGTCCTATTGTCTCCCCTAGTATTTCAATATTGTTTCCCTATTATTTTCATCATTTCCCTATTGTTTTCCTACTATTTCCTCATTATTTCCATATTATTTCCTTATTGTTTCCCTATTATTTCACTATTATTTCAGCATTATTTCCCAAATTGCTTCCCTAATATTTCCCTATTATTTACCTGTCGTTTCCCTATATCTACCTATTGTTTCTTTGTTGTTTCCCTATTTATTTCCGTATATTTTCAGTTTATTTCGCTATTAATTGCCTATTATTTCTTTGTTATTTCCCTATTGTTTCCTTATTATTCTCTAGTATTTCCCTATTATTAAGTGTTTCCCTAATTCCTATTATTTCCCTACTATTTCGACATTATTTCCCTACTGTTTACATATTATTTCCCTATTATTTACATGTTATTTCCCTATTCTTCCCCTATAATTTCCCTATTATTTTCTTGTTTCCCTATTCTTTCCATTTTATTTCACTATTATTTATCTATTATGTCCCTATTATGTCCTTATTGTTTCCCTTTTATTTCCCTATAATTTCCGTATTGTTTCCCTATTATTTTTCCCTGTGTTTCCTTATTATTTCCTTACCATTTCTTTATTGTTTCCCTATTATTTCCCTATTATTTTTCTATTATTTATCTATTAATTCCTTATTTTTTCCATATTATTTCCCCATTGTTTCCCTTTTTTCCCCTATTTTTTCCATATATTTCCATATTATTTCCATTTTTTTTCCTATTATTTCCCTATTGTTTCCTTATTGGTTCCCTATTATTTCCTCATTGTTTCCCTAATTATTATTCCCTTATTGATTATTGTTTCCCTATTATTTCCCTATTGGTTCCCTATTATTTCCTTATTATTTCCCTATTATTTTCTATTATTTCCCTTTTGTGTCCCTACTATTTGTCAACTATTCCATATTATTTCTGTATTGCTTAGGTCGTGGCTTAGGGTTTATTTGGGGTTGGTTTAGGGATTATTTGCGATTTGTTTAAAGTTCGTTTTGGTTTCGCTTACAACTTATTTAAGGTTCGTTTAGGTTTCGTTTATAGGGTTTATGTAGGGTTTGTTTAGGGTTTATTTGGGGTTAGTTTAGGGCTGATTGAGGGTTGGTTTAGGGTTCGTTTAAGACTTGCTTTGGCTTGGGGGGTGGTTTAGGGGTTATTTAGGCTGATTTAAGATTTTTTGCGGTTGGTTGAATCAAGGGTTTTCTTCAACATGTTTTAAGGCACTAGAGTCACCAAAGGACGGAAGGACCGAGGGACCAGAAGACCGGAGGGCCAAGGGAACAAAGGACCAAGGGACCAGGCGACCAAGGGAGAGGACTGGAGCCGGGAGATTCAAAGACCACAAGATTTGAACATGGCAAAAAAGGGCCAAAACACTGCACCAGCGCAGGAACAATGAATATATATATTATATATATATATTATATATATATAATATATATATATATATTATATATTATATATATATTATATATATATTTATTTTTTTTGATTCCTTAAATATCTATTTTAAAAATTGATGCCTTAAATATTTATTTTTTGATGCCTTCAATATTTTTTCAACCCTATGCCAATTGGCAGGGGGATCTCTAGGCCCCTATGTGAAATACAACGGATGATCGTTTCCCAGGACGTTTCAAAGGAAAGGACTGCCTTTCCAATCAAAACCATGGACAAAACCTGCACGTGTTCCCTGTAAAATGATTTCAACAAGGTTTCAAACCAACTTCCCTCTGAAATAGCGAGCAACACAGCGAGGACAATTCGATAATTCCAGGATCACTCTATACTGCAGAATCTGATTGTTCGTTTTTGCGGGCTTGCAACCCACTTATGAATGGCAAAAAAAAATCAATCAATCCACATAGAAATGACAAACTCACCATTTGCAGTCACCATTTTACTTGGGAAACTGTGCTTTTGCTACATCCTTCAAACAGCAATATCAAGCTAATATACCAATGAAACTTGGCGAACCATATCACCAACTAGCCACATTGTACCCTTTACATCCCGCGTTTTCTGATGGGTTTACCAATGGAATAATTATTTGGTTTGTCTTCAAAGATTACTTATTGCTTGTTGTCCGTTATGTCCGTTGGTTTGTGTGAGAAGCGCTATCCAAAAATCTTACGGAGTTTCTGCTATTTGCAGTTTCGATTTCCTTTCGGGTAATCCCAGTGTCAGACAGACCCAAATTGAAAACAACAACTGCCAATCTTCGATAAGCTGCATGTTGAAAACTGCAAGACTGGTATTTCCCCCCCAACGATGGCAACCGATCAGTTAGTTGCTATGACAACTGTCCAAATAACGAATCCGGCTGTAGCCACATTTTTATGATTCGCATGTACCCTCTGGTAAATTAACATAACTATGGAAAATCACCATTTTTAATGGGAAAACTCACTATAAATGGTCATTTTCAATAATTAGCTACGTTAAATTACCAGAGGGTAGCTTGTTGGAATTAATTTCCCAATTGTTGAGCCCAACAAAAACAGCATCGAGATGCTATCCCCATAGCTATTTTATCCGTCAGTTTCCCAATGTTTTGTTGCTTAAACTGGTTAAAAAGCCAACATTTTCGGACAAAGCCTCCAACTAGTAGCATCCCTATTTTATTTCTTTGTTCTTGTAATTCATTCAATACATTTCAATCAGCATTTTGGCTGCCCTTCAAGGGCAACAAAATGAATCCCAAGGTATATCAATCATACATCCAATCGGTGGCCTAGTTACAACAAAACAACATGAAACGGGTCATAAATCACTGATGATTCCACATCATTTCTGAGTTAGCACCTGTTTTTTTTGGGTTAAACTCGGTTAAACCACCGGTTTTTTCATGGTCCATGTTGAAGCCCAACTTAGAGGACCGTCATGGACCCGACCTTGAGCTGATTTCGCTGGTCGATGAACATACCACGCAGTCAGTTCCTTGGATTTTGGCGAACTGGTTATGACTAACGGTTTGCCATGGAAAATCCCAATTTTTAATAGGTAAACCATCTATTTCTATGGGCCATCTATACCATGGCTATGTTAAATAACCAGAGGGTACATGAAGATATTCTTACTGTAGTACCAAAAATTTCTAGACCGGAGGGTACATTTAGTAACACATCACACGCTGAGTCTAGGTTTGGAAAAAAATCCGGATGCTGAATTCTTCATTTTTTTCCATGGTGAAATCTAAATTTCTCAAGCTTGCAAGCTACATCTCGTTGATATTCATTCATTCCCCAAAAATACTTTTGCAAGGTCAACAAGCGGCCACACGCTTCCTTTATCAGCGTCAGGTTTGTGGGAACCACTATCAAACTACAAGTTCAGGCGATGCGTGGACTCTTTCGTATGAGGAAAATATCCGCACGCCCTTGACAACAAACGGGACTTGAGATTACCAAAGAAAACGGCGTAATTAATCAACAAAACATTTTGAACACAAAAAGATTCCGATAGAACACATGAACGTCAGTATCATCAGCTGTAGATGCCCTGCAAAAATTTAAATCCATCTTCGGTGGTTCATGAATTAAACACAGAAATGTTCACTAAGCTATCAGATCTATCACAGAGCGTTTCCAGAAATCATCATTTAATGATACTAGTCATAGCATGTCATAGCCCATTACCCATCCCTAAAATCTCCGCTGCCCGGGTTCCTTAAAGGCAATCACCGCCGACAGGATCTCCTGGACCTCAGGATTGTCGTCCACGGGCACCGGCCAGAAATCGTCTGCTTCCGCTAACATTTTGCCCATGAGCTTCAGGGTAGAGCCGTGTTTCCTCGCCATCCAAAGATGGGACATATGGAAAACCATGGAAAACCGATGTGGCCAAAATGGGGGCCGGAAGATCTAAAGGCTTGCACATTTTCTGGGTTTTTGAATGGGCCAATGCTGCAAAAAAAGGTTCGATGTTTAGAGTGGGAAGTGTTGTACGTTCATTCACATCTTGCACACACTGAGAGCAGTTGAAAACACACATTCATTATTTTTCCTTTTAATGTAATCATTCAATTTATGTACAAGTCTCTCTCACATATTTGCATCCATACATGTATCTAACCCTCGCCACAAAAGCACGAAACAAAACTGCAAAAAACGCCCAGAATCTGCATTTTTACCCCCAAACAGATTCACAAATATGAAGAGGTGAAACTCAACACATATGACATCAATTTTTCATGTTCTTTTCCACTCAAACATACCAAAAAGACTTCGCAAAGTGTCTTGGGTGGTAAAAAGCGCCGTGCCAGCGACGTCATGTCGTCCAGGAGGGACTGTCGGAGGTCCGGAGCTCCGGGGCGGGACGGGCGCTTGTGCAATTGCTTCTTCTCCTCCTGGCGACTCGGGATATGCCATGGGATGCCAATTTGGGGAAACCAGTCCTATAATTAGCATGGAAATACCTATTAAACAACGATAAAAGGGCCATATGTTATATATATATATGTATGTATGTATGTATGTATAACTTGTAAAATGTGACATTGTGGTGATACACTTTTTCGATATTTATGACCTTAAATGGATCGATTTCGACATCGGAATTTGGAAAAATGCGGAACACTTTGGCTCTTGCCATCAGAAATCAAACTGGTAAATTGCGACCACATGCGACAACCTCCAATTCTAGGCAATTTTTTGAACGTGGTTCTAATGGCATTTGCTGATTTTCATGGCCACAACATAATCAAGAAAATCTTCGATGTGTTTTCCCCGAGTATTCAGTTGGTTTGTCCGGGAAAATGGCAGGGGATCCTCTTTATATAAATCAGCCAGTGCCACGAAAACAATGCCAGCTGATACGTGAAAAAACGAATTGGCCAACTGGGATCAACTGGGACTCGCCATAGTTTTGGTTCCCTCTTAACTTTCTGGTTTTCTCACGGTTTGTGCAAAATGAATGATCGACGTTTTTTTTTCTGTATTCACATGTCTGCATATGTATGCCTATAATGTATGCATGTGCATTCGCAATTATTCATGTGCGTTTACATCTATCCAACTTGTATTCATATGTTCATGCAACTGTGTGTCCACTGTGTGCTTGCGTGCCAACTCCTAAGAACTTCCAATTCCGAAGGTTGGGCCATCCCACTTGAAACATCGGTTTGTTGTTTAGTTTGGGATGTTTGAAAATAAAAAAACTATCAAGGCCAGCCAGGTCATCCATATATATAATTATATATTATACATGTCACATTTATCCAATTTATCCATATATATATATATACATATATATTCATTTTAAGTGGTCAACTCACCTTAAAAAACATCAGCACTTTCACCATGTTTCACCTCAAGAACTCCCCCAGTTTATCGGGATCCTCTGTCAGGCACAGAACCTTTTCTGTCTGGTATTCGGGCCTCCGTTAAAACAACAGCCAGAAACCATCCATGAACTGCACAAAAAATAACAAACAAAGTGGCAAGAAACAGACTGGCATTGACATATGTCAGAAAACCGTGCTCACATATGACATATGTACGTTTTTTTTTCAGCGTTTTCTTTGATTATTTTTTAAGGATTGCCAAACATGGATTCCCTCATAGAAAACTAACATGTTGGAAAACCAAACATCATTGCCTTGACATATCCAAACAACATATCCAAGGCAATGAGTTTTCCTGCCGTGCCTGTCACGTTCAAGAGGTCGTATAAAGATGCGAGGCTCATATATCAGCAGGTTGAAACCTGGGAAAAAACACTAGGTTTGTTCCAACATGAGGGAAACATGTGGAAAGATATTGATTGATATATTGATATCAAAGGAAAACATGATCAATCAAAGGATTTTGGGAGAAAAGGATCAGCCATTCAAACATCCGTTTGCTTTGCGGTGCCACGTTCCATGCATCATCAACATAAACGTGCTTGAAAGCACCACTACTGGTTGATGGGACCAAAAAAACAGCTACATGCAGCTGAGAAGTGCACGCCATGTTGTTTTTTTAAATAACATGTTGGATACTTGGATGCAAGATGAAAAATGCGCGCCCCCAATGGGGTATGGTTTGTGGCATTGGGCCTGCCAGAATGTTTTCAACCTACAAATCATGACCAACCAACTGAACATAAATCAAACAACAAGTGGAATCCAACATCAATTTAAAGGCTTTAGGGACTCCGGCAGGGTCAATCCAGAGAGAGATTACTCTTAACATCTCTTAACTGCCACAAACAAACAAGCTATGAATCTATGAGGAACATAGGAACTATAATTGGGTCAACTTTTTGGAAAGCAGAACGCAGTATGCGCATAATGCAGGTACCCAGTGCATTCTTCGGGACATCGCCACAGGGTGTCCAACAGGATAGGCCAGATAGGCAGCGAAATGAGATGGGAATTGAACATCGCAATCATCAACACATCGCAAAATGGTCATTTTTAGTGTTCCCACCATATCCCACCATACAATGTAATACTGGAGAGTACGTATGGCCAATAATACCAATGTTTGTTCCCCTACCCAAAAAAAATCAGCTGGTTAGGTGACAACCCCATCTGCAAGAGAGCCACTTTCCTCAGAGGAGTTTTAATGGTTGATCCATGTCACTAACTTTCATCATTACCCAAATTACATACTATACCCTCATGTCACCTATCTTTCCCTTCGTATCTCAGTTTTACATAGTTTTACGCGTTGTTGGTGTATTTTTTGGGTGATCATCCAATTGGTTGACCCAGAAAAACCCTTGGGTTCTGGGCCGTTTCCATCCAATCATCCGCAATCTTCAGTTCGGTGTCCACTTGGTGTTTCCCCGTAGCTCACTTGGTGTTTAACAAGGCGAATTCACTTAAGTCACTTGATGCATGGATATGATAAGTGTGGAATAGATGGCTACTGAACCAACTGAACCAGCTGAAGCAATACAGGGCCCATTTAGCCCATAAATGGGCCCTGATAGGCCACCACCTAAACTCGCCACGCTGCTCGACGACGAAGTCGACGAAGTCGACACAGCTGAAGGCTTCACTGAAGCCTCTGGGGATGGTTGTTGTGGTGCCTTAGAAACCCTTAGAAACTCCATATAAACCCATAGAAACCTGTCCTCTTCTCAAACATGTTCCAAATCTTTCGAGTTCTAGCTCAACTAACCCAACCCTTGCCTTAGCTCCAGGGGCAGCTCTGATGTTTTCCTATGTCAATAAATTGAGGGCAGCCCCATACAGCCGTCTTTCCGGGGCCACCTGGGAAAAAAAACGAAAAACGTGCGACCGGTTTCAACCAACGAAAAAAATAGACTGAGGTAAAGATGGATTTGACCTTCAAAATGGACGATGTTATGCCAACTTAGTGCATTCTTTTTGAAATTTACTAGGGCCATCAAAAGACGACCTTGGAAAATGACGTTACCTGCTGTTTTCCCCCACGTTTTGGAGTTTTCCCATGTTTTCCGCCCAGGAACGAAACCATAGACAAGATTGGTCCCTGCAGCCAGCAATGCCAGCGAGTTCGCTTTGGCCGCCTTGCTGCTCTCCTTGGGCTCGAGGATCATCAGCTTCCGGATGTCCTGGTGAACCACGGTGAACCAAAGACATATCGCCAGTTTTGGGACGAAATCTAAAGATAACTCAGCAAATAACTCAGCCAAAAAATCTGGGAATAGCAAGGATTTCTTGATGTTGGTATCAAATCCCCTGATATGAACTATTTCCAACTGTTTGGGGACCCCAAAATGAAGGGTCAGCACCGAACCGAGGGTTTCTGGAAAGTATGCTGCATGAAGGGAAAACGGTTATAGATCCAAATCTATACATCCATGTTTCCATGAAAAAAATCACAAGGATGTAGCCCAATTAACCCTTTTCCCGTAGCATTAGACATCCCCATCAGGGACCATGGTTTGGCGCGGGAATTTACATATATTACATTACATTACATAACATAACGTTAACATTAACATTAACATTAAGATTGCATTATATACGTAAATACATACATATGTATATTAGGATCCCCATTCTAGAACCCTGGGACTTATCCGAGGGGGGATCTTAGACACTTCGTAGTAGAGGGTATTATATCCATATGTATAATAACATATATAACAATAATAATATTATTATGATGATAGTGAAACACATAAACGCATCGATAAATACACACACACACACCTCTATACCATTATACCTATCTATCTATCTCTATATATATATATGGATCCATTTATGATTTAATTCATATTTTGGATGGGGAGATTCGGCCATGGCCATGGGGCCATGGCGCTTCCTGCGCCAAGAGCTCAGCCAGAGATTGCGGCTCCAAGGCCATGGCTAAGTCACCCTGGAAGAGCTTCATCTCTGCCATCGCCATCGGAAAAAAAACCCGTTGAAGTGTAAATAGCCATGGAAAATGGACCATTTTTGGATTTTTGGGCCCGGATTTAACATGATGATGGATAAACATGATGATTTTTAACATGATGGATTTAACATGTTTTTTTTTGAAATTTGACCATGTAACCATGGATCAACATGATGACTTAGCCTGAGGAAATGGGTTGATTTTGGGCAAATGATGTCCTGGAGTCTGGGCAATGCCATTTGGTGCCCAATCTTGGCCTCTTGAACCAAAGTCTTGCGGAGCAGTCCGGAAATGGGGCGGCTGTCCCCCAAAAAAAAAGCTAATTCAATGGGGGGCTCAAGTGGTTCTAAGTTATTCATGGTTAATGTCAACCCTGGATTAATAAACCCCTAGTCTGTTTAATTGGGAGTACCCCCCAATTAATAAACCATGGTCTATTAATCCCGGGTTGAAATTATGAATGGCAATCAATGGTTCTCAATGGTAATTCATGGTGATTTAAACTTGTTAGTGCAACTTCCAGCAACCAAACACACTTGCCCATAATACAACATATGGATTTGTGTGAGAGGGGGTTCCGTCCCGTGCCAGCAAACACATGATCATCGTATCCTAATGAAACTGCAGTTTGGGATACTCGCCCATTTTTCCCGAGAGCGCCTGCGAAGGGTTCTTCGTAAAAAAGCAGCCGTTATACTACATCTTCACACCTTCACATCTGCTGATCTACATCTTCACACCTTCACATCTGCAGATCTTCTTCACACCCTCACACCTGCAGATCTAGATCTTCACACCTTCACATCTTCACACCCTCACATCTGCAGATCTACATCTTCACACCCTCACATGTGCTGATCTACATCTTCACACCCTCATATCTGCAGATCTACATCTTCACACCCTCACACCTGCAAAAATCTGGATCTTCACACCCTCACACCTGCAGATCTGAATCTTCACACCCTCACATCTGCAGATCTGGATCTTCACATCTTCACACCCTCACATCTGCAGATCTACATCTTCACACCCTCACATCTGCAGATCTACATCTTCACACCTTCACATCTGCAGATCTAGATCTTCACACCCTCACATCTGCAGATCTGGATCTTCACACCCTCACATCTGCAGATCTAGATCTTCACACCCTCACATCTGCAGATCTACATCTTCACACCCTCACAGCTGCAGATCTCCTCTCGCTCTTCTTCTATTCTCTCTTAAGGCGGGGGCGGTGCCGCCGGAGCGCCACGAAACGCAACCCTTTCGCACGAAATGGACGTTGGACGTCAAAAACTGAGGAAAAATTGCGACTTTGAGGTGTCCATCGCAACCCTTTCGCACGAAATGGACGTTGGACGTCAAAAACTGAGGAAAAATTGCGACTTTGAGGTGTCCCGCGCAACCCTTTCGCACGAAATGGACGTTGGACGTCAAAAACTGAGGAAAAATTGCGACTTTAGGTGTCAATCGCAACCCTTACGCACGAAATGGACGTTGGACGTCAAAAACTGAGGAAAAATTGCGACTTTGAGGTGTCCGCGCAACCCTTTCGCACGAAATGGACGTTGGACGTCAAAAACTGAAGAAAAATTGCGACTTTGAGTTGTCAATCGCAACCCTTACGCACGAAATGGACGTTGGACGTCAAAAACTGAAGAAAAAATGCGATTTTACTTGGTCAATCGCAACCCTTTCGCACGAAATGGACGTTGGACGTCAAAAACTGAGGAAAAAATGCGATTTTACTTGGTCAATGGCAACCCTTACGCGCGAAATGGTCGTTGGACGTCAAAAATTGAGGAAAAATTGCGATTTTACTTGATCAACCGTAACCCTTTCACCCAGTGGTGCCGCGCTTTGTGAGCGTCTCTGTGTAAAAGTGTGTAAAAGCGTCTGTGTGTAAAAGAGTCTGTGTGGAAAAGCGTCTGTGTGTAAAAGTGTCTGAGTGTAAAAGCGTCTGTGTGTAAAAGTGTCTGAGTGTAAAAGCGTCTGTGTGTAAAAGCGTCTGTATGTAAAAGTGTTTGCGTGTAAAAGCGTCCGTGTGTAAAAGCGTATGTGTGTAAAAGTGTTTGTGTGTAAAAGCGTCTGTGTGTAAAAGGGTCTGTGTGGAAAAGCGTCTGTGTGTAAAAGCTTCTGTGTGTAAAAGCGTTTGTGTGGAAAAGCATCTGTGTGCAAAAGCGTCTGTGTGTAAAAGCGTTTGTGTGTGAAAGTGTGTGTGCGTCGGTAAAAAAGCATCTGCATGTAATAGCGTATGTGTGTAAAAGTGTCTGTGTATAAAAGCGTCTGTGTGTTAAAGTGTTTGCGTGTAAAAGTGTCTGTGTGGAAATGCGTCTGTGTGTGTGTGCGTGAAAAACGTCTCTGTGTGAAAGCGTCTGTGTGCAAAAGTGTTTATGTGTAAAAGCTTCTGTGTGTAAAAGCGTCTCTGTATAAAAGCTTCGCGTTTCTTCGCGTTCACGGAATGATGGTGCCGAGCCTTTTTCCGCAATGTGTGTGGGAATTACCATAATAAAATGAGATAGCACATGTCATTCGCAGACTCATGGTACCGAGCCTCCTGTGCACTTTTGTTGCTCACATTACATTTCTCCATGTTTTCTTTCTACCTCCCCCTTTCATTCTCTCTCTCTCTCTCTCTCTTGCTTTCTCTTTCTCTCTCTCTCTTTTTTTTTCTCTCTCTCTCTTTATCTCTCCCCCCTCTTTCTCTCTGTGGTTGTAAGACACATGTCATCTGATGCCCTTTACGAAATATTCTCTTCTTGATCAATCTTACCTTTTTTCACGCCAAATCCTGCCATAGCTCATATAAACTTCACCAACCATTCACCGACTATTTTTTACGACTACCATACTCAGAGATGCTTGAAAAACGTGTTTTTTCGCTCTCGGGCCAACCGTCGTCTAGTTATATGCACCATTTTGAGGCCCAAAAAGAGAATTGGCCATTCCTGAAATTCACAGCGCCATTCCAAATGGCAAAAGTCACTGAAACAATTTTCAAAAATTGGGTACATTGATGTGGCAAATTCGTAGCAAGTTCCCCAGCAAACTGGATGACAGCAAACTGACTCGGTCTAGCGTTTTTGTTTCTTTTCAGGGGGTTGATCCAAAGGGAAAGACATGGGTGAGTTGATTGATTGGGAATCATCCCTCTCTAAAATAGAAGGAAATACATAGAAACAAATGGCAGCCAAGCACCAATTAGTACTGTTAAACTACTAAACCATTCACACGCCAACATCAAAAATATCTGGAGATGATCTGAGCCATCCCAGTTCACAGCTGTCTTTTCACCATGCCTGCGGGTAGCACGAACAAAGCCGGCTATTTGCTCGGCAAAGTGCATGTTGGCTGGTTCAGTCGAAAATCAAAAGTCATACGTTGGTTTTTGATCAGCGTTGGCATGTGAGCATTGCTTTTAGTAAAGACCTGGCACAGTGAATTTTTGCAGCCAGAATTGCGAGCAGTTGTGGGTGGATATTCATTCTCCCCCAAAAAGGACAGGTATTGACCTGTTCCCGTATCCCCTTGTTCCAAGAGACCTAGTGACATGGGCAGATGACAACAAGAAAAATGGTCAGTATATGTCAGTATATGTATACATAAACTATATAGCACCGTTTATAGCAAAAGATCAGAATATATATATATATATACATATGTATACATATGCATGAAAATACACATACAATTCTCTATATATATATATTTATATATTTAGATGTATAGATGTAGAAAAACGTCAACTTGATGAATCGTGGGGTCCCCCCAAAAAAACTATATAAATAACATAGACCCGGGCAAGCCGGCGGCGGAAGTTTCCCAAGAATAAATGACCTATAGTTCGACGCCAGCCTGTCCCGACTGTGTCCTTCCCTCGACAAGCGGCTTCTTTTTTCAACGAGAGACGAAGCAAAGTCTTCACACTCCACACTTGGCACTCCACACTTCACACTGCACTCTTCGCACTCCAAACTTCACACTCCACAGTCCACACTTCACAGTCCACACTTCACACTTCTCACTTCTCACTGCTTCCTTCACACTCCAAACTTCACACTCCACACTTCACACTTCGCACTTCACACTCCACACTTCACACTTCACAGTCCACACTTCACACTTCTCACTTCTCACTGCTTCCTTCACATTCCAAACTTCACACTTCACACTTCTCACTTCGCACTTCACACTTCACACTTCACACTTCACACTTCACACTTCTCACTTCTCACTTCACACTTCACACTCCAACCTCACACTCTAACCTTCGCATTCCACATTCACACTTCTCACTTCTCCCTGCTTCCTTCACACTCCAAACTCACACTTCACACTTCTTCACTTCGCACTTCAACATCTCCACACTTCACACTTCACGTCCACACTGCACACTTCTCACTTCTCCTGCTCCTTCACACTCCAAACTTCACACTTCCCCAACTTCTCACTTCGCACTCACACTCAAACCTTCCCACTTCAACACTTCGCAGTCCACACTTCATACCCTCCCTCACTGCTTCCTCTTCATTCACACTCCAAACTCTTCACACTCTCACACTTCTCACTTCGCCACTTCACACTCCCACCCTTTCACCCGTTCACCCGTCCACACTTCATTCACACTTCTCACTTCTCACACTGCTTCCTTCACACTCCACACTTCACACTTCACAGTTCACACTTCACACTTCTCACTGCTCACTGCTTCCTTCACACTCCAAACTTCACACTTCACACTTCTCACTTCGCACTTCACACTCCACATTTCACACTTCACACTTCACAGTCCACACTTCACACTTCTCACTACTTCCTTCACACTCCAAACTTCACACTTCACACTTCACACTGCACTCTTTTGCACTCCAAACTTCTCACTCCACACTTCACAGTCCACACTTCACACTTCTCACTTCTCACTGTTTCCTTCACACTCCAAACTCCACACTTCACACTGC